CCGGGACGAGGAATGTAGCCTTTTCGCAGCTTACCGATACGAGTGAGGATCGAAAGGAGCATCACCACCCACCATTGGCTTCAAGCTTCACCCGCCAACATCAAGTTCGCTTGCCTCTGCACGGCCTCCGCTCCCTCAGAAGATTCGGAACTGCAAACAGAATCGAACTCGCGCGCTGACGCGTCCTGCAGCTGCCGGCAGCGTGCCAAGGCCGAGAGCAGCCCGGCGGCGCCCTCGGGCTCCTTGCAGTCTTCATCGAAGCACCTCGATCGATGGATTCGGCGGCACGTCGGTAGCAGCAGACGGGTCTCTGACAAAAAGAGGCCTTGGAACCCTCGAGAGCCGAAGCCTCCCCAAGAAAGGATCCCGCCCTTTAAAAAGCCGCCCTCCGAGGCGCTCAGAGAAATCCGCCTTCCGGAGCTGCTCCCAGCGGGCGGTTGCCAGGAGCTGCCAGGCCGCGGCCGGGACTTTGTAGCACCCCTCCATGCCCAGCTCCTGGCCGAGAGCCGGGTCTCCGGTGCTCTGCTCTGCAGCGGAGTTTGGGCAAGCAGGGGTGTCGGTGGCTCCAGGCTGCGGCCAGGGTTCTTCGGCCCTTTCCCCTCTGCAATCGCGGTACNNCCTGCAGCAGCTGGCAGCGGCTCAAGGCCAACAGCAGCGCGGCGGCGCCCTCGCCGCCCTTGGAAAATTTGTCGAAGCACCTGGCAAGAGAAAAAGGCGCAGGCCCTTCCTCCCGCATCCCTGCAACTTAAGAAGAGAGCCGCAAAGCACTCTGCTCTCCGAGGCGCCGTTCGAAGCTCGCCTTCCTGAGCTTCTGGAACGCCTCACCCTGAGCCTGGCCGAGCTGCTGCCACACGGCGGCAGGGACGTCCCGGCACCGATCTAGGTTCAGCTCCTGGCCGCGAGGGTTTGTCAAGGCGCCTCTCGGCTCTCCTTTTCCGGGTTCTCTGCTGCCCGCCCGCCCTCACACCGGAGGCATCTGGAAAGCTGCATGACGTACAAACTGCGGTGCGGCACCCTGAAGGGCTCAGATCCATGCATCAACCACCACCCGTACACCATGCAAGTTACCCCGGTACACATCGGAGGTCGAACAGAAGGAACCATGAACTTATGTACATGAACTACCAGCTGCCCTTCAAACTGCCGTCGCGTCCTCCACATCGGAGCGGGCCAGAGCGGGCACCAGGCCGAGGTCCCCCTGAACTGCCGCTGGTGCTTCTGGCATCACCACGGAGGTGATGAAAGCCGGGTACATCGGCAGCTGCTTGGCACCGGGCTCCTGCAGCTCCATGGAGCTTGCTGCTGAGGCCGTCGCCTGAGGCATCAGGTCGTCGACTGCAAGCACTGAACCATGTAACTTCTCTGCTCCGGTTCTCCTGTCGAAAAACACCCTCCCCCACATCTTCCCCAACCTGCTGTCCTGCCCCTGTCCACTCCCGTGCTTTCCTCCGCCGCCCCTACCCTCGCCTGCGCAAGACCGCGCACCGCACATACTCTTCCCTTTGGCCCTCGGCACTCGCGTTGCGCACGCCTTGTGAATCCACCCAGACCCACATATATATAGCTTTCGTTCCCCAGGCCCTGCCCCTCAAGTTGGCACGCATGGAACCCGGATTAGCAGCCCTCACACAACACGATCAGCGGGCAGGAGTCGGGGTTGCAGCCCAGCATCGTCTCCCTCACTGCTGCTGTCACTGCTTTTGCTGCTGTCACTGCCTGTGCTGGAGGCAGCCTCGCCTGCGTGGATCGGAAGGGTGCGGTGTTCAGGTGATCTGCAGACAGTGCTTCACAAGACGCTCGGACGGTCCGAAAAGCTTCGCGGCTTCGTCCTCTAGCTAAGGCTTCCGGCCCCCAGACAGACATCCACGCATGCGTCCATCCATCCATCCATCCATCCATCCATCCATCCATCCATCCATCCCTTCGTCCATCCATCCATCCATGCATGCCTGGTATTCCTACAGTACCTATGTCCTATACTTCCTGTAGCTGCACATGAGACAAGAACGGTGCGGTCGCTCCGTGGGCTCCGGATCTCTCGACTGACGCGGCGGAACTTTAAAGCCAGAGCCAGAGACAAAACGAGTCACGCTTCCACCCGCCTGCACCCGCTTCGAGGTCCAGAGAAGCTTCGCGCAGGCGCTCCAGGTGCTCCTCCGGCACGCCTTTTGCAACGCGGAGGCGAGGCCACGCCCCGTCGCCCAGCAGCTCCCAGGCCGCGTCGGGGATTTCAGAGCCAGTGAAGTCCACGTCCTGCCAGGACCGCTGCGGGACGGAAGCAAAGAGGCGTGGTTCTCTTCTCTCTCAGCTGCTCCCTGGAAGTGACGGAGGCCTCCAGCTGCCGGGAGCGGCCCAAAGCTGCAAGCAGCTCCTCCGAGCCCTCGCCGCGCCGCTCGAAACACTCGCCGCGCCGCTCGAAACACCTCGGCCCGTCTTGCTTGCTTGCTGGCGGCTCTCTCGCTCTCTCTCTCTCTCCCCTCCAACCCCTCAACCCTCCGACCCGCCAGCTCTCAGGGCCGAGGCGCGTAGCGAAGCTCGCCTTCCGGAGCTCCGGCCACTCGGCGGCTCCGAGCTCCGCCCAGGCCTCGCCCGGGACTTCCAATGAACCGACCATCGCCAGGTCCTGGCAAAAGCACGGCCCAAGCCGCCAAACCCGGATTTGTTTACCGGAAGCGCGGGCGCGGCTTTCCGTCCTTCAATACAGAGCAGCTCGGAACTCGGCGGGTCCTGCAGCTTCCGGCACCGCGCCAGCCCGGCCAGCAGCGCCTTGGAGCCCGCGCCAGAACGGTAGAAGCACCTGGGCTCCCTCCCGGCACGGCACGGCTCTCCCCAAAAAGCGCAGAGAGAAAAAGGCCGAGGGGCGCATAGAGGTTCGCCTTCCGCAGGCGGTCGCTGTCCAGGCTTGCGCCCAAACGCTCCCAGGAGTCCGCCAGGACGTTTTGGAAGCCATAGAGGTGCACAGTGGTGGGATGCGACGTCGCCAAGCCCTCCACCACCGCCTCTCTGGGGATGGACAGGCTCTCAACCACCTCGCCAACGAAGCGGACGTCGCCGGTGGACTCGAGGATCCTCTCAAGGCCCTGCTGCGTCAAGCCGCGGGCCTCGAGGCCAGGGGGTGCCGAGTTTTGGAGCTCAGGGCGAGCGAGTCGCTCATCGCAGCTTATGTTAGAATCATCCCTTGACGCAGATCCCCCCAACCCAAAATGCGCGGTCCAAGCAAAAACAACTTCACATGCGAGTCACGGCGGCTTCTGTCGTTAAGTCGACGGCGAACTTGCCCTGCATTGCTGCCAGGACCGCCTTGGGCACCTGGGAAGCTCTGCATGCGTGTTAGTGCCTCCCTGCAATCTTCAACCCGTGCCCTGTGCCTGGCTGTCCGGGCTGGGGAAGCCAGCCAGCAGGCTCGAGTAGGCTATGACCGGCTCCTCGCCTCTTGGCAACAGTGGCGGCACACTTCCGAGCAGCTGCGGCGATCCGGTGCTTGTTTTGCTGCAGCGTGCGCCTGACGCCAAAGCCACAAAGCGCGGCTGCTCCACGTGGTGGCCGAACCAGCCTGAGGCTTCCCGCGCGAGGTGACTCATGCGAGGGCCTGCACATTCCAAACAAATCGAAACCACTCAGAGCGACTGAGGAGGCCAAGCGCGGCCCAGCTGACGAAGCTCACGACCTCGGGTGGGTGAGGGGCCAGGGCACGCCCGGCACACGTGAAGAGACGACCTGCCTTTGACTTGGACAAGTCAAGCCCAGGCACGAGCCACGCAATCAGCAGCATATCCGGCAGGACCTGTGTCCAGCTTACAAATTCCGCATGCAGGACCCAAAACCTCCTATAATCAACTTTCTGCACAGATCTGCACAGCTACATGCATGCATGCATGCATGCATGCATGCATACATACATACATACATACTGACATACATCCAGACATCCAGACATACATACATACATACATACATACATACAGACATACAGACATACAGACATACAGACATGCAGACATGCAGACATACAGATATACAGACAGACAGACAGACAGACAGACAGACAGACAGACAGACAGACAGACATATGTACATACATATGTACATACATACATACATACATACATACATACATGCATGCTCTATACTCTAAACAGCGTGCAGCCGTAGGAAATGCTGCGGCCTTACATGCTGGCGGGGCCGTGCTCGTCCGCAGCAGCAACTGCCCTCCTCCGGCAGCAGACACTAGCACGACGTGGATGATCAGAGAATGCCTCGCAACAGATTCCAATAGGAAAAACTGCTACCGAACGTCCCGCGACGCGACGCCTCTGCAGCTCTCTGAATCCCCCCCCCCCAGCTCGAATTCTACTCGAAGACGACCGCCGAGCAGCCGAAGCTTCAGTAGGGAATTCGGCTCCAGAATTTGCCCTGGGTGGGCGATCACCGCGGCCTCGCTTGGAGCAAGACGTGCGCCAAAGAATATGATTTATTAAGTTTTCTTTATAGGCGCTTGCAGCCGCGCTTGCAGCTGCCGTGCCGAGCCGAGGGGCCGCGGCGTCGGGCCAGGAGGCGTCCGGGAAGGCCAGGCAAGCCGCGAGGAAAGCGAGTGCAACTGCTCCCAAACCGGCGAATCGCAGCAGCGGAAAGCCCCGCAGGGACGCTTGCAGCACGTTGAGTGCCAGAATGCGGCTGAAGACCTCGAGTGACCTCGCCAGGACGAGGCCGCCCATGGTTGGCCCCCAGCCGACTTTCCCTGGCAGGTCCAGAACGGCCGAGTCGGCCTTGTCTCGGCTGGCGAATCCGAGGCCAAGACTAAAGCATGACACGAGGACAGACAGCTGCATGCTGTCGAGCTGGTCGTCGGACAGCTCCAGTGCCTCGATCTGTGCAATTCCACCCAGTGCGGAGACCAGAAAGTTGGTCTGTACCAGGGCAGAGACGGCGGCTTCGGCCACCTGTGCAAAACTCTGAATGATTTAGCTGCAAACTCTCCAAGTCAACCCGACTGCAGGGGGCCCTGCCTCCG